TAAAGATTTAAATATTTAAATTAATAAATTTTAAGAAAGAAAATAAAATCTGGCATGTCTCCTTATGAATAGCATAAAGGTGAACCATGCTTTAGTAAAGATATATAATGGTTTTTCTGGTTAAAATCTTACAAATCTGGGTGCTCCCTGGTGGCCAGTGGGTTAAAGCACAGCATTAAGACGCTAAAGCCACTTCAGTATGAGTTCAATCCCCTGCCCCAGAAATGATCCACAGGGTGCACAGACCTCTCCTAACCAGCCCACAGCTCCCCTCAGCAGTGTACTTCATCAATCTGCCCGTTCTGCTCCCCCCCCTCTGCTGAATCCCTTCACCGCCCTGCTCCTCTGGCCTTTACCCCAGTTCTGTATGAATAAATAAATCTTAAAAAAAAAAACAAAAAAAAAAACAAAAAAAAACCCTGCAAGTCTTTCCAGTTATAGCCCCCCTACTTTTCCACATACTGAGTTCTCATTTCTTCAAAATGGAAAAGTCTCTTACATTTCCTTAAGACACAAGCCCTTCCCAAAATCCAAACTTCCTATTTCGGCTCACTGCCATAACCCTACTTATTCTCCCAGAAAGTACTAAAGTTTTCTGCTCTCCTTTCATTATTTCTATTTCTTCTCCTATCAAGTAGTTGTCGTACTGTTTTCCAAGAGTTTATTTTATATTGTTTTCTCACTGCATTATTACTTCCTGTGAGAAAATGATTCAACGATTTTTGATTTCTCAAGCACTTAAATGAATATGCAAGTGATTAAATAAACTAATGACTCTAGGCCTGGGATATAGTTACTTTTCTCTATAGGTTCTATAGTTAGAAACCATGTACCTGTTTCTTGTATTTTTATATTCTGCAGCTCTAGTTGTTGTATTTTCTGAAGTTCCTTGATCTTTTCCTCTTGAGCAGAAATAAGTTCCTCTTTAAGACTGCAAAGAGCTTTATCTTTTTCATTTTCCATATATTCACGAACTTGATCCACATGAGTTGAATAGACCAGAGGGAGGCATATACGTTGAGCTTCCATCTGTAGCCTTAAATCATTCTTAAAGTAAATATATATACACATCAGAAAATTTTTAAATGACAAATAATCCAACTTCTGTTCCTCTGCATATACTGCATACAAGGGAATAATATACAAAATCATATTTTAAAACTTCCTATGAGAAGTCTTTTTTCCTTTTTCATTTTGTTTTCATCACCTCAAGTTTATGATACATTTTGTTTAACTAGTATAGTTAGTTTAGCCTCATCCTTGGCTTTGGTTTAAAAGCAATACTTGGGCCCTCCCTGATGATGCAGAGGTTAAAGCACAACACTAATTGCTGAAGCCACTTCAGCATGAGCTCGATCCCTACCCCAACCCAGAGGTGACCCACATGGCATGACAGAGCTCTCCTGACCCGCCCACTGCTCCCCCTCAGCAGTGTACTTCATCATTCAGCCTATTCTGTCCCCCACCCTGTCTCTGGTGAATCCTCTCAGCGTCCCTATACCTCTGGCCGGTATCCCAGTTCTGTATGCATAAATAAATCTTTTTAAAAAATAAACAAAAAAGCAATACTTAAAGAGAAGTTCAAAGATAAATCTAATAAAATTATTGCACCCGAAATTAACAAATACAAATATTTTATCTTCACCATGCTCTCATTTCTCTTCCCCCTTTTATGGTAGAGAAATAAAACAGATAAAATTTAATCCACAATGTTCCCATGATTCTTTCCCCAGAGGCAATCATTATAAAAAATATTTTAAGTCCAGTCCATTTACAATAATAATGACTTCTCAATAAATCTGCTTGCTACTGAGGAAACCATACGTTCCTCCTCCTTGTCGTCTGTTGGACCTTGTTCTTGTCTTTTTTTTTTTTTAATAGACAAAACCAGAGAAAATCAGCCAAGGTAGACTGAGACTAAGATGGTACAGATGTAAGACAGAATTTAAGCCACAGCCTCATTATAGTAAAAAACACACTCACCAATACTATGACAAATCTGGTTAAGAACAAACCTGGAAGAAAAAGGGTTAGAGAAGTAGTTCCTAGAAGTCACTGCTTACTTTTCTAAAATTCTGATACTGACTCTAGTCTCTCTCCCCTCTTTAGTAATCTTCTGTATAAGTCCCTGTTTCTCTCCAATACAAGGAGAAGGCATTTAGAACATGAGCTGTCTTGATTCTGTTCAAGGAATAAAATATTCTACTGCTTGAATCTTGATTTGAATCTCTTTCCTGGACTTGTCTGTGTGCTGGAGGGCAAAAAATTCAGTAGCATGTTAACAGTATTTTGGGTTTTTAAGCATTTACATATATGGTATTTACTTTGTAAATTGTCTTTCTCTCAATGTTACTGCAATCTAACCATGTCCATACATGCTAAATTATTCTAATTTTGGTACTATAAAAATACATTCATATGAATATACCACACTTTGTCTATTTTCTTTCTGGATATCGACTGGAGTATACCTAATTTTTTTTTACATACTGCAGTAAATGGTGGGCATATAAACTAGTTCAGTCACTGTGGAGGTTCCTTCAAAACACTAAAATGGATCTACTGTATGATCCAAAGATTCTACTTCTAGAAATCTACCCAAAGGATACAAAAACACTATTTCAATAGGAAATCTGTTCCCCTATGTTTACTGCAGCAGTATATACAACAGTCAAGGTATGGAAACAACTTAAGTGCCCCCAAAACAGATGAATGAATCAAGAAGATATGGTGTATATACAGAATTGAATAATACTCAGTGATCAAAAAAAGAACCATTCTGTGGTGATAGAGCTCACATGCTATGGTGGTAGGAGAACTAAGGAGACTACAGCTGTGGGGGAAATCAAACACTGTCCAAAATCTGACTATTTTGATAGCATTAAGTTCAGAAACCCATCACAGTGCTTTTTGAAACAATTTAAATGATCTCAGTCACTTTTAGTACTAATTAAATTAAAACCACACAACCTCAAATATTTACCAAAGCATTAATAGTTAAGGAATTTGAATTTCTGAACTCTACTGAGGTTATTAAAATATAGAAATATCTTTACACTTGCTGTACAATTATAAATGAAGTAATGAGAAAACTTTAGTGGCTTCCTATTGTATAAGGAATAAAATATCAACATCTTATAAACTTCTGTAAGCCTCTCCTAGATGTTCTCTTCCTTCTTCAAACTTTTCTTCTATTCTCTCTATATCTCAAATTCAACAATACCTTCCTTCCCTCTGTTCCTCAAAGTTAATTATATCTTCACAATTACTTTGATTTTCATGTGGTAGGCTTCTGATATTGAGATCAAAGTTCAAATACCAATTCTCCTAAGAGATCTTTCCTAACTTAGTATTTTAATGCCTACCACAACCCCTACCCACCATTCCCTAACACATTACCTGTTTTGTTTTTGTCACAGGGTTTGTTACTATTTCTAATTCTCAACTTGTTTCCTTGTCTCCTGTTTGCCTCACTCACTGACTATAAAATGCACTCTTTGAGAACAGCAATAATCTCTTCCTTAGTACAACTATACTCCTATGCCACAAGAGATTTGATAAATATTCATTACCTAAATGAAGAAACACATACGTTTTAGTGCAGTATTATAAAAATATACAGTGAAATTTCCCTGCATTTCTAATATTAGTATATGGCAAATGTAAATTGTCAGGAGTGATAAATTATATTTATTATATGTATTCTTTCGCTATATTTAGAATATTCTTCCTCTCCAATCCTTTTTAAAGTATAACAGGAACAAAAAATTTAATGGCTTAAATTAAGCATTTTCCCCGCAGGAAAAATAACGTTCCGTTAACTACTGAATTAAATAAGACATTAAACAGTCTTAAAAGTTAACTTTCAGTAGTGGAACCAACACCAGCATAAAAATGAAACTCTAAAAGCAATCTTTGGGATGCAACAAAATATTACAAAACAACTTTCCTAAAGCTCAAATTCTCAAGAGTTTTCGAATTCTTGCCTTTCTAAACTAAGTGGGAATGCATTACTGTATTTTATTTCCTGAACAGAATGTATAGCAGATTATCTGAAAGGCAAAGCCATTAAAAAAAAAAACAGAATGATAAATAAAAGATAGGAACAAAGAGTCACATTATAGCATTCATTTGTACTCTCTTATAAATTTGTTTTATGAAGATGAAAATAGCTTTAGTATGAAATAAACGTATTTTCATTTTAATTTGGCATGTATAAAATAGTAAACATACCTGTTCTGATTTAAGTACCCTAAGTTCCCACTGAAGTTTGTCATTTTCACTTGGTTCATCTGCCCCATGCAATAATTCACTTGTCACTGATGGAAAATGATCAGAAAACAACTTCTCTTCTTTATTTTCATTCCCAATATTTAAATTTTCCAAAGGAATTTTATCTTCCTCCACTATTTTCAATTCTTCACCAAAATCTTTATTTGTTTTAATAATGGATTTTCCAGATTCACGGCTTGTCAGAGTCAGGACTCCATCTTTTAAAGAGCTTAGTGGAGTATCATACACCTTTACATCTGTCCTCTTGTGGTTAAGTATGATTTCTAGCTCTCTACATCTCAATAAAATTTGTTCCTTCTCTTGCTTTAAAGATTTAACTTCCTCATTTAGAAAACTAATCTCACCATGTTTCTGTTTTAATTGTTCAGAAAGATCAGACAGTCTCTCCGATAGTTCTAACTTTTCTCGCTTGGTTACTTCAAGCTTTTCCATAAGTTCTGTTGTATCTTTCTCAACAACCTCACCAATTTCTGATTCTGTGATAAAAATTTTGTCATCATCAGAGACTGAACTTTTCATTTTCACTATAGTTGGATTTGTTCTTTGCAAATGAAGCTCTTCACTAAGTGCTTTAAGCTTACTTTGATACTCTATTTCTTGCTTGTTTTTACTGTCTTCTAAATCAGTTTTTACCTTGAGAAGGCAAGCATAATCTTCCTGTAACTCCTGATAGTTGACTTCAAAATTTTTTTCAGCAAAGGAAAAAGTATTCTTTTGCATTTCAATCTCTCTTGTCAGCTCAATACACTGTTCTTTGAGATGTTTATTTGCTTTAGCAAGTTCTTCAATTTCTTTTTGCCAGCTACCATCTTTGGATTTGGATTTAATGGAATCTATGAAAATTAATCTTTCTTCCTGGTTAACAGGAATAGTTATTTCCAACATGTCTTCAAGGGCTTTCTTTTCATCTTTAAGAATGTTATTCTCTGCTTCAAGCTGTGCAAATTTTTCTTGAAGGTCATTCTCTTTTTCTTTCATTTGTTTCTCCAGTAGTTCAGTTTTAAGTTGTAATTCTTGAACTTCTTGTTCAAGGGTACCTTTTTCATTTTCTTCTTGTCTGAGTATTTCAATTTCTTTTTGAAGTTCATTGATTTGAAGAGTCATTTCTTCTGATTGTGAATTCACAAGAGACTGCTGTAAATCTTTTAGCTTTGAAATTTCCAAAATTAATTGATTCTGCTTAGTTATCAAATTGTCTTTTTCAAACTGCATGGTTTCTATCTTTTGACTCATTTCATTCTGTAAGCCATCAATCTGCTGTTTATAGTGAATGCCTAAGTTATCTTTAAGTTTTTCAATATTTATTTGATGTTCAATTTCTAAACCTTCCTTCAGTTTGGAAAGTTCTTCTTCATGACTAAACAGAAGCTGTGTTCTCAGCCTCTCTAACTCTGCTTCTTGTGATTCAGCCATTCTATCTAAGACAGCATTCTTTTCTCTTTCTAACATTTCAAGTTTTATTTTATAATTTGTAACTTCTGCTTCATGTTTTAACTCTAGTTCCTTCCTGGATTCAGATGCAGAAACAATCTCAGCTTTCAAATCTTCTACTGTACTAAGGGACTTAAGTGCTTCATTGAGTTTGTTTTCTTGTTCAGCTATTGTCTGCCTAGCTCTCTGAACCTGGTCTCTTGAAAAGCTCAGTTCTTCAAAAAGGTCTTCAAGCTGTTTCTGTAAAGCAGATTTTTCTCCTGAAATTACTCCTACTTCTTCCTTGAGTTTTTCCTTTTGAGAGATAGTATCTTGCAGTTTTATATTTAGTTCATTAATTGCCATATTCATTAATTTTATCTGATCTTCATTAACTGTAATATTTGGATGTGTTCTTAAAGCATTCTCCATTTCTCTCTTATGTAGTGTTTTAAGTTCATCTATCTGTGACATATGTTGTTTTATTAACTCCTGTTTCATTTGCACTATCTGTTGACCATACATCTCATCCAGCTCTGCCTGGAGTTGTTCTAACTTTCTTTGTGTTTCTTGTTCCATTCTTTGTAGGATATCAGTTTCAAACCGGCTATCTTTATGATTTTTCTTCTGCAATTCTTCAACTATACCCATTAATTGTTTTATTTCCTCAGAACACTGTCGTTCTTTTTGCTTGGAATTAGTCAACTCTAATTTTATATTTTTTATCTCTTGGTTCTTTTGTATAACTTGCTCTTGTAATTCTTCTAGTAATCTGTCTGCAGCTGCTACTTTATCCTTTACCTCAAGTGCTTTTCTTTCTTCTTCTATTATTTTTGTATTTAATTCTTCAATGATTGCCTCCTTTTCCTGTATGTCTTTATTTGAGCGATGTACGTTTTTATCTTGCTCCTTTAAAGAGAAAAAAGATGACATTTTTTAGCTTCTGGCAACACCTATCAATTAACTCCATTACCAAAAGGCTGACAGCAGTCTGCTTTTTATATAATTTTGTAAGAAGTAAGTGCCAGGCTTGCCCCTCAATTTTTTCTAAGTCAATGAAATACCAGACTTGTGTACCTAACACTGCTTGTGAGCAAATACTACAGCAGAAATTTCTTCTTGGAAGAAACTTTTTTTTACATAGCTATAATTACAATATAGTTACCATGAATAGAGAACTGAATACATTTTTTTTCCAATTAAAATCTGTAAAATTTTCCTTTGTTATGAAAATGTTTCAGATATTCATAAGCATAGTTAAAAATAAATAGAAATACCTTTAGATGAAAAGACAAACAGAGAAAGTTGGCTATAAAGCTAAATTCTTCTGAAAATTCAGTTTAATATAAGCTAATCAATTCCATTAACTTACTAATTATTATTGTAAAACCATCAATGTGAAATTCCCAAATGCTTTTGAAATAAATTATTTTACAGACTTAAAAAGCTTTCTTAATTAGAAAATTTTGTGACTCATGTACATAACAAAAAATACCCGCATTAAAATTAACTGCAAAGTTATTGAAGACTGACTTCCTGAACATAAACATACATACCATTTCATATGCTCGAATTTTCTCTTGTAAGAAACTAATTTGTATTGTGAAGTCTTCTTTCTTTTTCTGATAATCTTCTAATAGATGGTCTTGTTCTTCCAGCTGTTGCTGATGAGTAAGAATCTGTTGTTTGGCTTGCAATAAATCTGCAGCTGTGCTACTGTGAGTGCTGTTTCTCAGAGTTTCACTGGCCTGTAACTTGAAAACAGAAAGAAAACCCAAAGTATTAAATTTGTAAGTTATAGCACCAAGGAATAAACATCTTTTGAGGTATACTGAGTTCACAGTTCTTTTCTGGGAATTGTGCTGGGTTCACAGACTCAAGACACCAGCAAACATGCTGCAATAATTGATCAAATGAATATGGGCATATCATCTAAGCTAAACCAAAAAGATGTGCCTTTCCTAAGAGTAAGCAGTCTAGTGATAGAAAGAAGATTGAGATAGACACGCAGAAAGAAATGGGGTCTGGAAGTTTCCAATAATTTGTGGCCTCTTTTTAATCCATTTCAGAAGTCTGGCTGTCACTTGGCAGCAGAAACCTTGATTAATACCAATTAAATTTCTATGGCTCTACTTAAAGTGCGATATATTAATTAACAGTTTAAAACTTAACTAAAATAAAATTATACTGGGATTAGCAAAGGTAGGACAGGACTATAGGTTAATTTCTGCAGAAATCCAGTTAAGGAAAAAGTACAAAGAAAGTAACAGTGAGAAACCACACAAGTTTGAGTTAAATAATAAGACTATTAACAAAAGGTGTCTACTATTATCTCCAACATGATATACAAAAAGCAATTAGCTTTTAAATACATTTAAAAGTGTTCTAGAACTGTGAAAAAAAATTATAAATAAAAACCTAGTAATTTGTTATAAATACTACTTACATGCTGGAATTGAATTTGTAATTTCTGACTTTGTTCTGTCAATTCTAGAAATTCTCTCATTGTTTCATCCTTTTCTCTTCTTGCTTGTTGTAAATTAGCAGTTAGCTGGGTTATGATGCCATCTCTTTGTTTAATGGCCGCTTCAAATTCTTGTAACTAAGAAATCAGTGAAAATAGTGTTAGACATTTATGCAAAATTTATTATTATAGGTAACTGTTCTTCAAAAATATGATATTCAGAACTTGTTGGCAGAACCATTACAATTTGTAAACAATCTTTTCCATATTTAAAAGCTATTAGTTTGTAAGAATTGGTTTTCAAATCAACTTAAAAAAATTATCTGCACTAAGGAATAAAACACATTACCTATATATCTACTCCTAGAAGAAAAAGTACCTTTATGTTTAGGGATGCCTCACGTTCCTAGGCAATACACTTGCAGACTGAGAGAATATGCATTTTGTGTCTGGAGAGGATGAGAGTGAAATGTACTGTGTCATGTGTATCCAAGTCCTATTTTGCCTTGTTTTACTAACTTCCACAAACACAGATGTCACTTTAACCATAAGATGTTACTTCAGAAGTATATGCTAAGATTTTTAATGAATGTGATTCATGATATTTTGATGTGATTGCACCACAATTTTCTCTCAGGTTAATTATAAAGACATCTGTTCTACTGAAGTGATTCTGCCTTGTTATCCATCAAGCTAAGAGTTTACTTATGGACTTCTAGCTACCAAAAAGGCTGTTCATGAGCTGACTTTAGGTTACCACTTAAAAACCTCATCTTTAAAGAATGTATAAAAGTTATCATTCAAATTTTCCATTTTTGTTTTTGTGATTAATAAATCAAAGTCCACATAAGGTAAATACCTGCTGCAGTCCTTCAGTCCCATAGGTGGCCCTCATTTCTTCCAATTCTCTGCTTAGTTCTTCAATTTCATGTTGTTTCATAGTCAGTTCATTTTCCATCATCTCCAGGTGAGTCTGACTGTACTGTGCTCCATGTTCAGAAAAAGAATCATCAACACCAAATTCTTCTTCCTAAATGAAAGCAATATTTTAAATAACTGAATAGTAGCAACATTTCTCAAGAAGGATTCACTGAGATGCATAGCAAAGTTCACTTTAAAACACCATTCATCACTTGTAAGTTTCCTGGTAATGGAAACTTACTTTTAATGTGATATATACCTTGAGAACAAAAACAGAGATCTTCAAATTCTATTAAATTGCTTTTTAACAAAAGGCAAGTAACTTTGTTTTGTGAAACATTAAAAGGATTTTTTAAAAATCACACAAAAGGATTACATGCAGAGAGAAACTTTGTTAGTAAGCCAGATGTTTTTAAACAGTATAAACATTAGTACTGTGAGTAGTTTTAAATACTGTACCCTTAATAAATTTGTTGACTTTTCTGTTCTCATCACAAAACTGCAACCATTTACCTGCATGAAAACAATTTCCTGATATGTTATGACTTTAGATATAATTGAATTTAAAGTTAACAATTACATTTATGCTCTCCATATTCATGCGTTTCTTTATGCCTAGAGAAAACATCTCACTGACCAAAACAGATACAATGATTAAATGTCAGTATTTAAAAGATACTGTTTATTAAATATCTAAACATTTCAAAAGCCAGTTATTCCTCAGATATTTGAATGCTTACAATGCAAAAAACACTATTTTTCACTTAAGTGAAAAAAGTTCTAAATATAGTTTCTATTTTGTCTTCTAAGGAATAATTATAAACCTCAAGTTACAAGATGCTCTTCTAGAAAACACTGCTTTAAAATCATCTAAATGATTATCTTTTGATTATAAGTACTATCTATTTTCAAATTGTTTACTGGTACAAATTTACGCAGGCTGGTAAGCAAGTCAAGATGTAGGAAGAGATGAAGAACACTTCTCGAGGAGCTTTCCTGTCGGAGAAGTACAATGACAATCATGCAACTCAGATGGATGTAGTATGTCATTTTACTTAATGTTTTAATGCCTGTCTCTATCAGACATTTTTGTGGTGAAGGAAAATAACAGTATATGTCTCCAGGGTTAAACCGAATGGGATTAATTTCAGAGCTATGTAACAAGTCCCTCTCTTCCCCAATAGTACAAAAATGAATATCATTCCCACTTACATCTTTATTATTTAAATTCTTTTTAATATAGTCCAAAATAGTGAATTTTACCACGGAAATACATAAGACATACTATCCCAGCATTAGTATTAGATTCATATTTAGAAACGCTTAGTAAGAGCCTGGGTTCTTTATATCCTTTATAAACAGATTGGAAGAATTAACACTGTTCAAATGTCAATATAGCAAAATCTATCATCAGATTCAATGCAATCTCTACCAAAATTGCAATGCAATGTTTTACAAGAGTAGGGGAAAAAATCCTCACATGTTTTTTCCTGAATAGCTACAGTAAATCTGGAAAAAAAAAAAAAAAGCAGGAGGCAACATACTTCCTAGTTATCATAATTTTTTTAAATTTTATTTTTATTTATTCATCCATACAAGAACTGCCAGAGGTGCAGGTGGTGAGATTATTCATCAGACACAGAGTGGTGCGCAGAACAGGTGGATCTACTGAAATACACTGGTGAAAGGGAATAGTGGACAAGACAAGAGAGATTTGTTTTGCCATTTGGGTCAGTTCCCTGGTTGGGGATGGAACTCATGCTGCAATGGCTGATGATAGCTTGATAGCACTGATTTTAACCCACTGTGCCATCAGGAAGGTCCTGATATCATATATTTTAAAATTACAGTAATCAAAACTATATAACATTGGCATAAAAAAATAGATCAATGAATCAGAATGGAGAATCGAGAAGTAAATCGAAACATATATGTACGGTGTCAACTATTGTTTCACAAAGGTGTCACTCAATGACAAAAGGACAGTCTCCTTAATAAATAGTTCTGGGGAAAAATGGATATTCATAATAAAAGAATGAATCAGATTCCTATCTTACACCAAATTTAAACTCAAAATGGATTAAAGACTTAAATGCAAACCTTGAAATGAAGAAACTCCTAAGAGAAAACATAGGAAAAAAGATCCTTCACACGTGTCTTGGCAAAAATTTTTCTTGATATAAGATCTAAAGTACATCCAACAAAACCAAAATGAAACGAGTGAAAATATATAGAACTAGAAAGCTTCCATACAATCAACAAAATGAAAAAGGCCATTTACAGATGAGAAAATATATTTGTAAGTCATAAATCTGATAGTTAATTTCTGAAATACAAAAAGAACTCAATAGCAAAGCAAAACCAAAAAATAAAGTAATTCAATTATAAATGAAAGATCCAAACAGATGCTTTTCCAAAGGACATAAATGAATGGCCAACAGGTAGGTAAATGAAAAGATTTTCAACATCACTAATGTTAGTCATCATCAGAGAGATGCCTATCAAAACTTCCATGAAGTATCATCTCACACCAGTTAGAATGAACATCATCCAAAAATAGAGAGGTGGAAATGAGAATTATGGTGGGAATAATAAACTATGCACAGATTTTGAAGTGTAATGTATATCTGAAACCTATGTGTTGCTGAAATACAGTATAACTTCAGTAAAATAATTTAAATAATAAGAAGCAACAACTAATGTTGGTGATAATATAGGGAAAGGAAACCTTTCTGCACTGTCGATAGAACTGTAAACTGGTGCCACTATGGAGAACTGTATGAGATTCCTCAAATAATTAAAAATAGAACTGCCATCTGATCCAGCAATTCCACGTCTGGAAACATAAACAAAGAAATTGAAAATATTTACTCAGAAAGATATTTGCACCCCCCTGTTCAAAGCAATATTGTGTATATTGGCCAAAATGCTATATATAATGTATGTAGTACCCATTGATATAAATGGATAAAGAAATTATGATATATATGTATACACACATAGCACGCATAGTGGCATACTATTCAGCCACAAACGAAAGAATTTCTGACTTTCACAGTAACATGAGAGGATATTTTGCTATGTGAAATAAGTCAGGTGAAGAAAAATGTTGTTACATTATCACTTGCAAACAGAACCCATTTTTAAAAAAAACACACATACACACCAAACTCGAAAGAAGGAGGCCAGATTCGTAGTTATCAAGAGGTGGGGGGTGGTGGAAGAAAATGGAAAAAGGTGGTCAAAGGTATAAACTTCCTATTATTAGAAAAATAGGGAGGGAAATGCACGGGACTATGGTGATGGCACAGGGTGACTTGGTGATGGGAAACCCACGGGGATTACAACTGACATGAAAAAAAAATGTACAAAATGATGTAAAAATAAACTATTATATTATAAAAAAAGAAAAAATACTGGGGAAATAATGTACAACATGGTTAACAGCTAGCACTGATGTATGAGATAAGAGAGTAAATCCTAAAAGTTCTCATCATAAGGAAAAAATTTTCTTTTTCTATTGTCTTGATATGAAATAATGGATCCTAATTAAACATATGGTAATCATTTCACAATATTTGTCAGTCAAACCATTATGCTATTTATAATGTATACCTTTAATGTATACATTCATAATTATGAATTAGATCTCAAAAAAACTAGAGGGGGAGGAAAAGAGTTCTACATCAGAATTTGATTTTTTTATTTCCCAAAGTATAATTAATGGAAAACAAAACACATATTTACTAGTTATCACAGATACGTGACTTCAATACAATTTTCTAAACCTCATAATCCATTTCAATTTAATTTGAAAGACTGTGAGCAACAAAACAACTATTAAGAATTTCTAATATTATTAAATTAATTTTTCATGAAGATAACCTGAAAATTCCAATCTTTTGATGTCTATGCTTTCAAATTTACATCAATAAAAGCTAAATGTTATTCTACAATACCAACTTGAGATAATGGTCATATAAATTTCAACCAAATTTCAAGGGGTATGATTTGACCTGTAGCCATCTGGCTTGTAAGAATATCCTTCTTTGGTTTAACGAAGAAAAATACACATTCTGAAGTCCTAAGGAACCCCAAAGATAGGAAGTTCAAGCACCAAAGTATCTGACACCTTCAATCAAGAAAGACAAACTGTAAGAATTAAGGCATCTAAAATATGGAAACAACCAAAATGCCCCAGAGCAGATGAAAGGATCAAGATGTGGTATGTGTGTGTGTGTACATATAAATGTACATACATTTATATGTGTGTGTATGTATATGTATATGTGTGTATATATGTATATGTGTATAAACACACACACAATGGAATACTATTCAGCAATTAAAAAAGATAAACTCTGGCCTTCCCTGGTGGCACAATGGTTTAGGATGCAGCACTGTGAACCAGAAGCAGACACTTCAGTACAAGTTCGATCCCCTGCCCTGGAGGTGGCCCACATGGCTCAGCAGACCAATCCTGTGTCCCCGCTGCTCGCTTCAGTAGTGTACTTCCTCAATTTGCTCGCCCTGCTCCCTGCTCTATCTCTGGTGAATCCTCTCACCACTCCTGCACCTCTGGCCTGTACCCCAGTTCTGTATGCATAAATTAATAAACCTTTAAAAAAGAGGCTAACTCATGTCATCTGCAGCACATGAATATAGCTGGATGGGATTATGTTAAGTGAAATAGGTCAGAAGGATAAAGATAAGTAATCAGATGGTTTAACTTATATTTTATATACCTGATATAGAGAAACCAAACAAAGGTCAGGAAGAAGACAAAAGTAGCAGTAGATCACAGATCTGAGGTACACAGCAGGGAAAGGGGTGGAGAGAGAGCTCAAAATAGGAGAGGAAATCAAAGAAGAAATTAAAAAATACTTTTGAGTCGAACAACAATGAGGACACCACTTTCTGGACTGTATGGGACACAGCAAAAGCAGTGATAAGAGGAAAGTACATAGCAACACAGACTTGCATCAAGAAACAAGACAGAACTCAAGAAACAACCTAATCTCCCATCTCAAGAACTAGAAAAAGAACAATGCAGAAATAAATATAATAGAAATTAAAACAAAACAATCCAAGAGCCCTTCCTATGGCACAAAAGTTAAAGCACAATGCTATGAAGCTATCTGCAGCCACTGCAATACTGAGTTCAATCTCCAGCCGGGGAGCTGACCCACATGGTGCAGCAGACCTTTCCTGACCAGTTCCCCACAGCAGTATATTTCAGTACATCTGCCTGTTCTGTTCCCTGCTCTACTGCTGGTGAATCCCCTCACCCCCACACCTCTGGCCTGGACTCCAGCTCTGTATGCATAAATAAATAAATCCTTAAAGAAATAAAAGTCCAAAGTTGGTTCTTTGAAAAATAATCAACATAGACAAACCTCTAGCCAGGCTCACAAATACAGAGGGGGAGAAAACATAAATATATAAGACCATGAATGAAAGAGGAGAAATCACAACAGGCTTAGTAGAAATCAAAACAATCAACAGATTATTATGAACAGCTACATGCAAACAAGTTAAACTATCTAGAAAAGATGGAAAAATTCTGAGAACCATACGGTCATGCAAGGTATTTTAGGTCTGTTTAGGTATTCTATTTCTTATTTATCTAGCTTTGCATGACCGTATGGTTCTCAGAATTTTTCCATCTTTTCTAGATAGTTTAACTTGTTTGCAGGCAATGAAATTGGAACAATAATCAAAACAACCCCCAAACAAAAGCCCAGGAACAGACAGCATCAAAAATGAATTCTACCAAAAGTTCAGAAATGAACTAGTGCCTATCTTAGACAAACTCTTTAAAAAAATTAAGGAATACTATCAAATACATTCTATGACACCATTCTATGACACATTACACTAATAACACCAAAGCCAAAGACAACACACAAAAAAGAAAACTACAGGCCAATCTCTAACTTACACAAATATTCTCATTAAAATCCTTGGCAACAGAATCCAACAATATATCAAAACAATAATACACCATGATCAAGTAGGATTTATTCCAGAGGTACAAGGATGGTTCAACATCTGAAAATCAATTAATGTAATCCAACACATCAACAAAAAGAAAATAAAAACCACATGATCATATCAATAAATGCTAAGAAAGCATTGACAAAGTTCAACATCCATTTATAAAGAAGGCCACCAAAATTCTTTGGACAGAAGGAATATACCTAAACATGATAGAAGCCATACATGACAAACCCACAGCCAGTATTATTACCATGGTAAAAATATGAAGGCCTTTCTTTAAGAGCAGGAACAAGACAAGGATGGCCACTCTTGCCACTACTTTTCAATATAATAATGGAACTCGTAGTCAGAGCAATAATACCAGAGAAACATGTACAAGGAATCCAAATAGGGAAAGAAGTAGTAAAGTTGTCACTATTTGGAGATGTTATGATAATATACACAGAGAACCCTAAAAAACTCCACAGAAAACAAATCAAAATAATCACGCAATTTAGTAAAGTAGCAGGATATAAAATCAACACACAAAAATCAGTACCCTTCTTATATGCAATCAATCTGAAGAAGAAATCATAAAAACCATCCTTTTTATAATTGAAACAAAAAGAAAAAATCAAATACTTGGTAATAAACCTAACAAAAGAGGTAAAAGACCTCTGCAAAGAAAATTATGAAAATTGTTAAAAGAAATAGAAGACACAAAGAAATGGGAAGTTATCCTCTGCTCATGGATTAAAAGAATTAATATAATCAAAATGGCCATCGTACTGCAAGCAACTTACAGATTCAACACTATTCCAATAAAAATTTCAATGACATTCTTCAAAGAGATAAAACAAATACTGATGAAATTCATATGGAACCACAAAAAAAAATGGAGATTAAAGATATCACATTTCCAGGCACTATATACAAAATCATAATAATTAAAACTGCATGGCACTGAAATAAAAACATACAGACCAATGGAATCAAATAGAAAACCAAAAAATAAACCCACAAATTTATGGCCAAATAACCTTTGACAAAGGTGCAAAGAGTATGCAGCAAGGACCATTTTTTCACTAAATGATGCTAGGAACAGTACATTGCTACACACAAAAAAATAAAGCTACACTATTATTTCACAGCATGCAAAAAAAGGGATTGATCACAATGATCTACAAAGAGTTCACATAACAAAAACAAAGTCAACGATCCAGTAAAAAAAAAAAAAAAAAAAAAAGGAGCTAAAAAGACACCTCTCTGAAGAGGAAATGCAAATGTCCAACAGAGATATGAAAAAATATTCAATATCAGGAATATTTATTTAGGAGATGTAAATCAAAACCACAATGAAACACCAGAGACAGTAGCATGTATTTAAAAAAAAAAACAAAAAAAACAAGAAACAACAAACTCTGGTGAAGATGTAAAGAAAAAGGAACTCTCCTACATTGCTGGCAGGAATGCAAACTGGTCTGACCATGATGGAAAGCTGTGTGGTGTTTTCTCAAACTACTAAACATAGAATTTCCATTTAACCCAGCAATTCCACTCCTAGGGATCTACCCAAAAGACACAAAAACATTAATTCAAAAGGATACCCGCACACCTATGTTTATTGCAGCACTATTTACAATAGGTAAGATATAGAAACAATACAAATGCCTAAAATAGGTGACTGGATCAAGAAGATGTGGTATATATACACAATGAAATACTATTCAGCAATCAAAGAGGATAAACTCATGTCATTTGCATCAACATGGATAGAATTGGAAGGGATTATGATCAGTGAAATAAACCAGAAGGAAAAAATATATATATCTGATGGTTTCACTTATAGGAGGAATTGTAAGGGAAACAAGTTAAGGGATCAGAAAAATTATAATAAATTAAAAAACAAAATTACAGGTAACTATTAATCAAAGACACTGCAGAGGAGAGGAACAGAGGGGACAAAACAGGGGAGGGAAGAACACAAGAGACTATGATGATGGTGCATAGGCAAATTGGTGGTGGGAAGTTTACAGAGCCTACCCCGAAAGGAGAAAGCATGCAATGTACAAAAAGGAAAAATAATGTATACAAATAAAAAATAAAAATAAATAAAGCATAACTTTCAAGAAGTGAAAAACTAATAATAGTTTTATGAAAAACATGTCAATCATTTATTCTTACCTCTGAACTATAATCATCTGCAGTTGTTGAAATTTCACTTTCTGGCTAAAACCAAAGTAAAAACAATTAGATTAAGGCTTTCTGCTTTTATTAAGCATTGTACTTTACTACTTTCTGAATATTATTCTTTACTACGTCATCATACTGAAAATATATGATAAAACATTCACATAAAAATATCACTAAACACTAAGTAAAAATATTACTCAAATCTTTTGAGTATTAATCACAGTGGTTTAATGCATTTAAAATATATCACGAGGTATGTTTCTAAATATAAAAGCATCAAGAATTATTTTCACATATGGTCTTGCACTCATTATCAATCTTTTGTAAAACAGATACCAAATATATTATCATCTCACTCTAATTCTTGTATCTCTTTTTTTCTAAAATATTTATTTTACATGACAATGCATTACATATTAATATTAAAATAACATTTTAATGAACAATAGCTGTATTTTCCAAAGTGAAACTGTTTATTAAAAGTGTATAACATGACTGACACACTGTCAATTAATGTATCTTTTTCTTACAGTTAACTTTAGTCATACTTTTATAAAGTAACAACTGGTTTGCAATACTGTGCATGATTCAAAAGTAAAGGATTCTACCTCTTCAAATGTATGCTACTACATCACACCCACCATCAAGAGACCCTTGGTCCTCTACCATAGTCCACTATGCCTACTTCTCCCCTTTCCTCTTCAATTTCCTTTGTATCGCTTTGAAATAAATGCCCTAAAATGTTAAAGTCAAAAAAGTCAACTTATTTAAAAAAGTCAAATCTTGATGCTAGAAAATAGCAACTTAAAGAACAACAATTCTTCACCTTCACAGCTTACAAAACATTTTCAAAGACATTCTTCTTATATTCTTACATTCCTAGAACTCAGTATTTAGAGGCTTTTAATGTTCAATTTTGAAGGGCTAGGAAAAGTCAACAAGGAAGCCTAAATTTCCACTGCTTTCACTATTCACCCTCTCTAGGAATCTTGGGTTCATAAATAAGAAAAGAAACAGATATTTACCTTTTCAGTCAACAAATAAGAGTCATCATTGTCTCTGTTCTCATCTATAGCTTAAGGAAATTTTATTCATATTTCAAGATCAAGTTCCAAGTCTACCTCCTCCATGACACTACGAACAGAAATAAGCTTGTCCTCATTCTAGTGTAGCAGTGATACCTAACTCATGTTACTCTTTATTTTTTTTAATAACTTTTTTAAAGAGTTATTAATGTATACAAGAATTAGGGCAAAGGGCAAAAGTGTGGGGGTTGAGAGGATTCACTAGAGACAGACTGAGAAGCAGAACAAGCAGATCTACTGAATACACTGCTGAGGGGAGCAGCAGAAGAAAAAGGAGAGGTCTGCTGCACCCTGTGGGTCAGCTCCCTGGCTTGGGATAGAACTTGTGCTGCAATGGCTGCAACTAGCTGCACAGTGCTATGTAATGTTACTTTTTAAATCTAAAATATTTCATAACAGAAGCTATCACAGCTTATCAAGTTATGCCTTTTAAACAGACACTGATTTATATGTACTGTGTACTAAAAATTGTGGTACTAAGGGCTAAAATAGTAAACAAAATACTCTTTACACTGACAATGCTAAAACCGTACAGTGAAGAGTCTAGATGATTTGTTATGCTGAGTGATAACAAATCATTTTCAAGCCAAGTCAAACACCAGTATTGTCATATATTATTTAAAATGTCCAGATTTCAATAAAAAATTTTAACATATACAAAAGAAAAAGGAAAGTAGACCTACACACAAGAAAAATAACAAGTCAGTAGAAACTGTTCCTAAGGAAAAACAGATATTGAACTTTAGACTTTAAAGTAGTTATTTTAAGTATGGTCAAATAACTGATGAAAATACTTCAAAAAGTAAAGAAAATTATATGAATGATGCCTTGCCAAACAGACTTTCATAAGATAACTTACAAAAGAACCAAAGAGATAAAAGTAAAATAAATGAAAAGAAAAATTCAATAGAGTGGCTTAATACTTCTTAAGGAGAAATAAGAAAGAACTCACAATTCAACTGTAATTATCCATTCTGGGGAAAAGGAAAAAAAATTAAATGAACAGAGTAACAGAAATCTGTGCAACAATATCAAACATAATAATATATGTTTAATGGGAAATATGGAAAGAGAAGAGTGAAAGGGAAAGACTATTTGAAGTATTTATGGCCAGAAGCTCCCCAAATTTGAAAAAAAAATTAATCTAGATATCCAAGATGCTCAATAAAACTCTAAGTAATACTCTAAAAGATCTTCTTGTATGTTGGACAGCAAATCTCTAGTCAGAGCCTTGACCTCTGGAATAAATCCCTATAGACAAAAATCTTCCTGTGTCTACATAAATATACTAGTGTATAATCTAAACTACAATCACCATGCGCCTTGTCTAACATTCTTCCTCCTAATCATCTCATCAATCTGTATTTATGACCTTAGTTGGAGGATCCGCCATCCCAATTAATTCTCTATTCTTCCCTCATCTCCTAAGTCTAGAAAATTGTATCATTAAGGAGAAGAAGAGAAGTAATTAACTGAGGACTTTTGACAAACCAAATATAAGCTCAGGCCTGTCACCACTGCCACCACCCAATGCACATCATTCTGTGCTCCAATGTAAACTACATAAGGATTCATCACAGAGACTGTCTTTCCTACTTTTTTTGCTTCTAGCTAAATATAATTTATACTTCAAGGCTCAGTTCTGTTGTATCTTCCAAAAAGCTTTCCTTAAACACACACACAAGGCTGCTTCAGGATTTCCCCTTTATTCTATCTCTAATCAGAGTACATGGTTTATTTTACATGTACCTCCCTGACTAGAATGAATTTCCTAAAGGTTAGAGACTCACATTCACTCGTGTATTTTTAATGGTCAATCTTTGCTGTACAACAGTTGTTCAATACATACTGAACCAAGCTCACAAAACTGAACAAAGTGCTAATGAGTAGTGCCATTGTAACAACTTTCTACTTAGAATACTACTGTTTACAATTCTGGATGAGAACTTACTTCAACAGTGACTTGGTCATGTTTGACAATTTCTCCAGTGTGTAGAGTCCCCATTATTGTGGATTCAGCAGATAAGGTTGAGCCCACCTTTTGAGAACTACTGATACATACATCATCACTCCGTGATTGCTCAATATTCAAAGCAGTGTCTGAGGATACATCATGCTTACTGCTTGAAGTTTTCCTCTTTTTCTTCTGCTTTTTAGACAGATTATGACCATCAGATTGAGCTTTCCTTTGCCGAAACTGAGCGAGCTACAAGAAAAAAATAATGTCATTACTATAAAAGATAATTTTATTCTATTATCACTGAAATAAAAGCAGCTCTGGAGTGACTTCCTACAAAAAGATTAAATCAGCACTACAATAATGATAAAATAAAGGCAATTGTTACAGTCTTAATATAAAGGTAACTACTTAAATTGCAAAGAAACTAGGCATTTCTAATAAAGAATGCTATGTAAATATTGACAACTGAAAATGCCATGCTTGAAAAAAAAAAAAGAAACTAGTCCAAAATTAGAATAAGGGAAAACATGCCTTCTCATTACTGTTTGGTAATAGTGTAACCTCTGGATGTGAAATTATACAAAAATATAGGAGCTCTAAGTGCATTTGCTCTAAAATTGCTGGGACTTTTCTATTAATTTATGCTGACTATAACTGAATCATGTAAGAAGATCTAGCTATGAAATGATCACTGCTGCCTTGCTGAGAATGAGGGAAAATTAGAAATAATTTAAATTTTGAACAATAATGCTTCCTAGTTCTTTAGCATTTGCATATCATATTTGGGATTTTTGTTATATCCTATTACCACCTATACTATCATTTACTTAATAGGTTTTAACTATTCAAATTTATTTAAGAAGGAGCTATTTGTATCTCTGGCATAGAAGCTAATTTCTGATAAAAGCAAACAAAATGAATACAACAAAAATTTAAACTATATCAAAATTTTAGATATTCTTGCAAGAGGTTATTAAGAAAGATTAGGCAAGTATTATGGGGGTAACAAGTATATATGCACATGAAACAGGCTTTGGCTTGTACTGGATGGATTTAAACCTAGAAAAATAGGGGCCTTCCTGGTGGCCTAAGGTTAAGGTTCAGGGCTACCACCGCGAAAAGTCTCCCACTTGGATCCCTGTCCAGGAAGCTGACCTACATGGCACATCAGACCTTGCCTATCTGGCCCATTGCTTCCCTCAGCAGTGTAATTCAGTAGACCTGCCTCACTCACTCTGTCATAGGTGAATCCTTTAAGCTCCCACCCTACTGAACCTCTGGCCTACACCCTAATTCTTCTATGCAAAATAAATAAAATCTTAAAAAATAATAACAAAAATGTTCTATTAAAAAAAAAAAACAAAACCCTATACAGCTCCTCTCGGCAGTATATTTCAGTTGATCTGCCTGTTTTGTCCCCACTCTGTCTCTGGTGAACCCTCTCACCCCCCCACACCTTGGGCCTGTGCCCTAGCACTTGTATGCATAACTAAATATTCTTTTAAAAATATAGAAAAATAACAATGTTTTAATATAAAAACATAGCACCTTTAACTAACTTCCCAGTTAGTTAGCAACTAGCCGATTATTGTACCATATCTCCTTAAGAAACAGATGTAAGGCCAGTTGCCTCTTTTTGTCTACTATTAAGCTGTTTGGAATGCATTTAAACTACTTCGGAGCAAAGCAAATTCATTCTTAAAAATAAGCCATATGAAATACTATTGTGTATCATCTACAATTAGAATCAAAAGTCTAAGAACATAATTTTTAAAAGATTTCTCAGAAAAAATGCATATATGATAAAAATAATTACAATGACGTTCTTGATATTTATATTTAACTTCAGAAACTTCTCAAAATTCCATGTTAAAAACTACATTCAAAGAGAAGATAATAGGACAAACATGAAAACTTCATTTAAAACTCCAACTCTGTAAATTATATGTAATTTGTATTTAATATTTATTTCTATGTACAAAAATGTAACAAATGAAAAAACTAAAACTACATATAAGAATGATTTAAAAATAAATTCTCTGCTTAAGACAATGGTATCCATTACTATATGAATCCAAATGAAAATGTTAAGACATAAAGTAGAATGGTTTAGGTATAATACTTAGAATGAATCACTTCCAAGGACATAAAATTGCTAAGACACTGTTTAGGCCCATAAGACTGATTATACAAAGTCATTATTTTTCAGAACAATCAAGAGAATAATCCAAGGGTAAAGTAAACTCCGTGATAGTAAGGATTTTTGATCACTGATATACAGTAAAAGTCTAGAAAAGTTCTCAATAAACACATGTTGAGTGAAAAAAAGGATAATTTCTATTTTACAGAAAAGTCACCACTAAACAATCACTTTAAGCACTGTTCCACAAAATCTGAGAACTAAGATGATAAGCAGGCATATCTAAATCTGCTATATAAAAAGCTCCATGGTCTTAAAATTAAATAATTTAAGCCACAAAACAATCCATTTCACTATGTCTCTCCTCCACCAAGCCAAAACCAAAACTAAAAAGAAAAAAAAAAAAAATTGAACTGTCAGAAAAATAATGCCCATAGTAGCTTTTTAGAATGAGTTGTTTTGTAAAAGCGTAAGAAGGTACACTATCATATAATAAATCTGATTTATTGTAGCTACCCTAAGCTATTTTTATTTTAAATCTGAAAAAGGGACAAGCTAGCAGAACCCCACACACACACAAAAAAAAAAAAACCTCAAAAGTTACTCAATTAGCTAATCATTGGATGCTGAAAATGATATACTTTAAGTTACTGGGAAAACATTTATTCTAAAACATGCTGAAAATTCAGACTAGAACCATCTGTGTTTGTCACTTCGAAGCCAATGATAAAAATGTTAACATATGTTGGCATGGAAATAGTTACAAGATTTACTGGAATGATATGATGTCCATATACACTTGTCTTTCAAGATAAATTTAAATCTCAAGCAAATGTTTTAACCTGACCAGGACAAACATAAAAATGAATGTAATTATTTTAATTATTTCTTAAACTCAGTATTTACAACCTGTAAGGGATCATTACCAAAAAACAAAACAAAACAAAACAAAAAAAGGATTTACTGCTGTATAAAAACATGCCAAGTTTTTACAATGTTACTTCAGGAACACTACTATTAGAATCTGTTTTGTCTCTTGAATATCCACTGAGTGTTTACTATGTGCCAGGCATTGTGCTAGTCATGAGTCAAAATAAGGTACTAATAGTAGGATCTTTTAGTCTAGCACAGTCTATTATTTCAATGAGTTGTGAGAAACAAAAGTGTACGTTTCATAAATTGAGTAGTCTTATACATCTGTAAGGAAGAGGTATGAAAACCTGTCCTGTCCTGATTGTCTCAAAGAAGGCTTTTTTATAAGAGGTGTGTAGCTGTGTATCTGTTAAGGATATCAGTAACTGGCATATGACAGGTAATTTACAATTCATTTATTTAACAAATATTTTCAGGCTTTTGTGTCCACTCTGTGCTACAGGCAGGGCAGATAGTGATTAGTCAAACAGAAGATACAAATCCTACTCCTATGAACTGTAATCCAGGTAGAAAACACAAATTAAATATAAATAAGCAGAAATATATCAAAAGATTAAAAAGTGCTTTGAAGACAATGTACAGACACTAGAAAAAGCCTATAACAGACTTACTTTGAATGGGCATGTGGAGAGAGGTTAGGAAATACATTATTGGGTAAAGAATGTCAAACTAGATTTGAAGACAAATTAAGTTATTTGCCCAAGGTGATTATCAATAAATGGCTAAACAGAACAAGAACACAATGACCAAATCTAGTATTTTTTTTGTTATATCAATTTGTATTACTTGCATTTTGACTTTTTCACTTGTCCTTATATTTCTCAATCCTAGAACACTAACATACAAGAATGAACAAAGTGCTTTTTTTTAAACAGGATCATGAACCACCCCTTCCCCACACATACACAGCAACACATACACTCCAATGAGAATGTGATAAAATACTTAAAAATTATTCTCTAGTTGCTCCAGTTTTCAAGTTATTTTCAATATATTGAGCTGAGAAAATTTAAGAAATCCTAATTAATTCTGATTATAGTGATTATTTGGACTTGTCAGTAATGACTTTAAACTTTTTTAATATTCTTTAATGAATGCTGCATAAGCTATTAAAACAAAACTACAGAGACTTAACTACAGAAACAAAAAGAAGATTGTAGCAGTTGACACAAAGACAATTTGTATGTAGAGCTAGAGTAGCCAAAGATAAAAGCAATTTTTTTT